AAAAAAAAAAAAAAAAAAAACTTTACAGAAATATTTAATGAAAGATGTGAAAATAAAAAGTTGAAAACCAGTTATAACATGTATCTTTTTTAATGTCACAAAACCAAGAAAATAGGGAAAAATTCAATTTTATACAATAAAAATATATTCCAAATATGAAGATTCTTCTATTGAATGATTCTCAAGTTCTGTTGAATAATGTCTTTGATTTTGTTATCCATGTACCACACAGGAAGTTTAACTAAGATTTTCCAAATTTCTTTTTCCTTTTTATTTAAGTCAGATTGCCATGAACTGAATCAATGTTCTTGATGTATTATTTGTGAAATGTGGAATCAGTTTACTTATTTTATTATTCAAATAATATACAGGTTATATGCTTTGGACTGAGTAAAATGGTTTTCTTTTAACAGAGAAAATAAACAGTTTAGGAGGGTTTGCAAAAAGAGAACATCATCCTCCATGTTGGAAACATACGTAATTATATATATATATATATATATATATATTTTAATTACTTCAAACATTTTTTATTGGTTACCCGTTTTTGTGTAGACACTGTTTTTTTAAACAGTTTATTTCATCTACTGTTCTGCACACTTGAGAAAACTTAAGAAAATGTTACTTCTGTCATTTAATTTATTAAGTTTTCTAAAGTGTGCAGGCTGGTCGACAAAATAAAAACTGTTTAAAAAACAGAGCGTTTACTTCAAATAATGTTTGAAGTAATAAAAATATCAGATTAAAAAATAAAATTCATTAATTCTCAAGAAATGTGTGTGTGTATATATATATATATATATATATATATATATATATATATATATATATATATATAAAATAAAAGGGATAATGTTCAAGTCATTTCCCTTTAACTCAACTCTCCAAATTTTTGTTCACCACTGCAGTAGCCAGGTATTGAACTCAAAACTCTTTGGATCAAGTCACTGGATCCAACCAATTTTTTATCCACTGGACCATATAGTGAGAAAGATTGCTAAATGGATATTTTCAGTATCTAAGAATGATAGCAAGTGTGTATCCAAAATCTCAGTTTCTCCAAATAAAGAAAAGCATTACAAACCAAACACAGATGACCTGAGTCACCACACTTTATTTTATTTTTTTTATGAATGGAGAAGTTTAAACAAAAACAAACCCTTATCAATCCAAAACAGTTAAGAGGGAAAGGTGATTGTTTCTCCAAGTAAACGGATAACTGATGATGAGGATATGAAAAGTTTCCTTTCATTCATTTGAAGACTTTTAAATGTCTTTGATTTCTGTCAGTTTTAAAGTTTGAAAATGTTAGAATATTGAAAAAGGCGCTTTAAAAAAAAATGTTGGTAAAGTTTAACAAACATATCTGAAAAAAAAAAAAAAAAAAAAAAAAAAAATCAGTGTATCAAAAATACATTTTTTTTCTTTTCACACTGTTATTACTATATACTTGGCAATTTTTATTTTTAAAAAGCTATTTAGAATTTTGATAAAACCCCAAAATATAAAACTTGCCAAACAGACCTTCATGCCCATAAATATTGCATTGCATTAGTCTTAATACAATTGCATTAATTTTTAGAATGTCATAAGTATAAAATTATTCTTGTAAATAAAAAATCTGATAAATAAATAGTGTTTAATATTTTTGTTGTAAATTCTCAAGAACAAAAAAAAAATGTATAAATTAACTTTGCTCAATGGTTTAAGTTTTATTACAATTCTAATCATCAATTTTTAAGACAATAAACCAAAGAGTCAAAATAGTTAAAATGAAAGCAATGTCATAAAAAAAAAAATCATCCTTTTGACAGTCCTTTTTCTTTTTTTTTTTGAAAGCACGGTCTGTTTGCTAAACTTGATTTATGTCTTTTTCTCAACTCTCAACCTAGTTTAGTGAATTTTTGTTGCGAGAGCAAATGAAAGAAATAACTTGAAAATTAATTTTTTTCAAAATTTCTAATTACAATTACTCCTGTGACATGTTGATTTAAATTTTTTTGTTCTCAGACATTTTTTTATAAATTTATGAATAAAAATAAATGGATTCATAGTTATTTCATTATTGCATTGAAGTTGGTTCACATATTTTTATAATCTTGTAAATATAAATTTTTTCTTCTAAATAAACAATCTAATAAATGAAGTACTTAATATTTTTGTTGTGAATTCTTGAGAAAAAAAAAAAAAGCAAGTGCATAAATCCAGTTTCATATTTTGAGGTTTTATTAAAATTCTAAAAATAGATTTTTTAAAACAATAAAAATTGGCAAGAGAGTCCAGTTACAGTGACATCAAGAGAAAAACCATCCTTCTATTTTTTTACGGGTATGATCGTTTCAAAATTATTCCCTAAGCCAGATATCTCTATTCAAATTAAATATACTTTTATTCAAAAACAGGAGATTGTTATTCAAAATAAAAAGATCATTGAACAGATTCTTTTATTCAATATAAATTTATCTTTATTCAAAGCAATGAGATGGTTATTCACTGTGTGAAATTCCACCACTCTAGAGTCGTGCTAAGTACAGTTACAAGCTGGCTGTTAGATTTTTGCCACCTTACAGTCAACTGTTAAACCCAATAGAAGAGACTTTCAGTTTCTTTCTGCAAAATTTTCTGCTGTTCCTGAAGCATCATGTAATTAAAAAACATGCTTACTGAAATTTGGAAGGGATTTTCCAAGAGTGACAATGAATTTTATTTTCTGATAACAGAATTTACAAAAAATGTATATTGTAACACATATTGAAAATTTTTTTTTTATTTACCTAAATCACAAATGGGCAGAAAAACAGTTTTTAATATGCAGCCAAAAGTGTATTTTCATTCATTAATGGCCTTGTAACTTTGCATTCTTGTCTTTATAGTAGTGAATAATAGACTCATAGCTTTAAAAAAAAACAAAAAACAAAAAAAAACAAAAAACAAAAAAAAACGTATTTTTATTTTCAATAAAAGGTATCTTCATATTAAATAAAACAATCTGTTCAATGAATAATGATTTGTTATTTTATTTTGAATATCGGTCTCTTCTTTTTTAATTTAAATAGCGGTAGAGATTTTCCAAGCATTGCTTAGATGTGGCACAAGGCCGAAAGTATGGGGCATCCAGTGAGAATCAAACTCACTTTTCAGTAGTAACTGATCTAGCAAGACAAGCTTGCTAACAATTACACCACGCTGAGGTGCCCAATTTGAATAGAGGTATCTGGCTTAGTGACTAACTCTGTAAACTTTACCAAAATGTTTTCAAAACCTTAGGCTTTTTGTTAGTTTAAAGATGGAGGATTTTTATTATTGAGATGCATTGATAGTTTAAAAAAAGATGGGTAATAATTATGATGAGGCCGAGCTATTTACAGTTGTGATATTTTAGCATTTCTGTGTATTTTACACGAATATCCTATAAACACTTTAAATTTTCACAATTCACCTGTAGTTATTGTGCTAATTTAATCTCAAGGAAATGTATTAACTATTAGAGAAGTTGAGGAAAACAAGAAGACAGAATGCATGGTCATCAACAAAAGAGACTATCCAAATTGTGAGCTACATATTGGGGATGACAAAGAAGGTGCAGAAATTTAACAATCTGGGTAGAGTAATTGATTGATTTGTTCTTTATGTCTTATCCACCCTTTGAAGGTTATTTAAAGCTAGAAAATATTTTTAGATTCTAAGAATTTTTTTGGAGATAGTGATTTACTGATACCAGTCCTAGTAATTAACCCATATCTGAAAGGAGAAGTGGTTTCATAGCTTTCCCAAAGGGATTTATGAGTAAGATGAATATAACGAACTGAAACTGATTCCCAATTCCAAGCCATTATCCATTACAGTACCCACACATCCAAGATTACAGCACCCGGTATTCCCAAGCAGTCACCCAGCTAGGTATTGACCAGGCTCGACATTGCTTAACCAGTGATTGCACTACCCTGGGTAGTGTTGTAACAGGCAATGGAAAGTATCACAGAAATCCAAAGGCGCATTCTAACACCAAATGTGATGAACATGTAAATAAACAAGAAAGTTTTCAGCAAAATAGAAGCTACAAAGAATCTTATGATTTTATTGATTTGTTTTTAAGTTTTATCAACCCTTTTCAGGTTATTTGAAGTCAAAAAATATTTTTTCAGATTGCTAGATTTTTTTTTTTCTTTTTTAAATAGTAATGGTTTATTAATACTAGTCTTACTAATTAACCCATAGCTGGGAGGGGAGAGGTGGATTCATACCTTTCCCAAAGGTGTTTGTGCATAACTAAATATAATGATGCCAACCAGAATTGGAACTCTGTTCTCTAAATAACAATTCCAAGCCATTATCCCTTACACCATCTGCACATCCAATCTTACAGCCCCTGGTATTCTAAAGTGGTCACCCACCCAGGCTTGATGTACGTTAATTTTGGTGATTGTATGGGAACCAATGTTTGAATGTGATGTGGCCGTAAGTCAAACAAACTCCTATTTAGCATCAAAAAGAGACAGCTGAAATTTCTGGAACATATGAGGAAAGAAGGTTTGGAGAATGTAGCACTCACAAGATATTAAAGAGGAACAAGAGGAATTGTCAAATAGCCTACTTGAATTTGAGAAGAATGAAGATGTTTGTAACTTGTACTCAAATAATGAAAGACAGGAAGCTGTGGAGAACCATAATCATATATGAAAAAAAAATTGCAGCTCACCATAATTTAAGCATCATTCCTCAAGAATGATGTCAAAACATTTTCATGTAGCATCTTGTGTAGTGCAGGTTCGTAGTGACCAAAAAAGCCTAAGTATTGGGTTGACCAAAAAGTGTTTGTTCACTTAAGTAGAAAACAGACTTAATAAACCCAATTTCTGGCAAACCCAAGATACAAGAAAAAAAAAAGAAGCTTTTTTCTAATTTTCTGTCATCACATTTTGTTTTTTTAGTGATTCCCATATTCCGCAAAATGCATTTCTCAAATCAAAACTTTTTATCGTCTCATGGTTCCACAAACTTCAGTACATATTTTTCATGACAACTGCTTTCTGTACAATCTCTGAGAATGTTGTACGCACTATCTGGTGTAATTTGAGATAACGTGCAGAGGTTGTTCCTTTCACGTAGGTAGACACTTTCCGGCCATTTCCATTGGCCAATACATCTGGGCTGTTGTCCATCTCCTCATCATTAGGGAAAGCTTTAAAAAAAAAAAAAAAAAAAAAATGGTATAAAAGAAATTTCATAAAGTCTTCAAATATAAATTGATAAACACAGAATTGATAATTATGATTTTTATATCGAGGTACATTGACATAGTGCAATGGTTAGTAAATTTGTCTCACATATCATTATTACTACTACTACTACTCACTGGGTGCCCCATACTTCTTGCCTTGTGCTTAGTACTATGCTTAGTAAATAAACTTATCTTCAGGTTATGGGCCAGTTATCTATCCTCCTTATCCTCATAATCATTACATACTTACTATTTCCTCTTTCATTCATGCATCTCATTCATCATTACAATTTTAACAGTAACCCTCTATCTTTAGTAACTTTTGAGCCTTGTAGTGGGTGAATTTTGGTATTATAATTTTTAAATTGTAAATTGCTTACAAAGTTATTAAGATGTTAACAGAATTATTTTGTAAGTCAGCTTGAAGCAGCTACTTTCAGAGAATCGTTATTTAACTCTTTCCAGGTGGTTTTACTCAATATTTAGTTTTGAAAATAATTGCCAAATTTCAATAACAAATTAGCTAAAACCATTTTACTGCCATGACTAATCAACAGAAGAAAAAAAAAAAGCATGTTTGTTGAAGTCAAGCACTTGAAATATTCAGTTTGATATGTGATCCTGCTATATTAAAAGAAAAAGAAAAAAGGATTCTGTTTTATGGCTGTAGTGTAATAAAGGCTATCATTTTTCTATTTATCAAGTATTTGACAGTCAAGCAAACAGTTTAGTCTGTTAATTTGACAGAACATTTCACTTCTCATTAGAAATGGAATCATGGATGGAATCTGCTATCATAATTTTTAAACTGTTGTTTTAACTGTTTGCCTTGAGTTCCTAGTTGACAAAAATTCTAATGTGCTTTTTTTCATATTTGGAATGAAAATCAAGTTTCTTCTATATAAATAAAGTGCAGTGTACACGTGTCTGTATGTCCATTTTTTTGATCTTGATGAATCATAAACAACCTGAAGTAACAGGTGTAGTTACATGCAATTAAAAATTAAATAACTCAGTTAAATTTAAATACTGAAAAGGGTGAAAGGTTTAAAAATAATTCTTTATTAAAAGTTTAACTTTAATTTTGCTTTTCATCACAACAGCAATTGATTTGTCTAATTAGATCGTAATTAAAATTTAAGTGGTACATTGCTCATATTTTTTCCCTTTTTCTAGCATGCTTACTGTGATGTATTCAGAATATTAAATAGTTCAGTTTCCTTTAAAGTCTTTTAAGAGTGACTTTATGTGAATGGATTATAAAGAATGGTGATTTTAAGATAAGAAAAATTGCACACAAAATAAACATAAACAAACTATAGAGATTGACAGCATATATGAAGAAAATTTATTCTGAATTAAGGTATCAAATAAAGATAAAATCATTTTATTATTTCAAAATTCTTATAACTTTTATCTACATATGATGCTAAAGGCGAAAAACTAAAGACCAAAAATCCCTCCATGTGAATTAGCCTGAAGTCCACCAAAAGGGCAGCTTCTGGGTTAGTTAAAAATAAAATATGAACTAAGGTATTGTCAAGTTAAACACACATCATTCAAATTAAAAATGGATTCATTTATATCGTGGATTTTTCAGTATTGTTAAAGAATGTATTAGTCTGCAAAGAATGACACAGTGCATAAACAATTTAAAAACTTTGTAATATGCACTGATATTGAATGTTAAGAACACAGATTCTCAGTCAGTTATTTATACTAGGTGTGATAATAACAAATCTATTTCATCCTACAGATTTCAATACTAAATTTATTTTGAAGACAACTTCTTCAACTATTAATTTATATATTTTTTATTATTGATTGTTAAGAACATTAACTGATTCTCAGTCTGTTTGCATACATTTACCTCAGACCATTCGCATCTGCCTACCAAACCTCAACTTATTCATATCTATCAAATTACATTTTAAAACTTCCTTGTGTCCTCACTAGAGACAAGTATAAAACAAAATCTCCATGCAATAAAACTTATGAAATCTTCATTTTTTGTTTTTCTTATTAATTGTCAGATATTTACTGTATGATGTAAACAATTACATTCAATCTGGATACTTTGACATGAATGGTTAGCAAGCTTAGATGAATTACAAATGAATAACGAGTTTGATCCTCTTTGGGTGTCCCTTACTTTTGGCCTTGTGCCACATCTAAGCTAGGCTTAAAAAACTCACCATTAACTTTTTCAATCTAACACAAACAATTTAGTTCTTTTACTCTCATGACATCCATAAACGCTATTCTTTAGATTCAATGTGCTTTTAAATAGTAATATCTTTTTTATGTCCCAATCAACTGGGATTATTTATAGAAGTTAACAATTCGCATTAGTAACAAATATTTTCGTGGGTTAGGGAAAAACAGAAGGAATTTCAAGGAAGGAAATCACACAATATTTCTCACACTGAAGCCCCAAACGATAATCTTAATTTTGTAATAAAAAAAAAAGAAAAAAAAAGATTTTTTGAAAGAATCAGTTTTTTTTTAATAATAAATCATAAATATACACATTGTGTTGTTCTCATCAATTTGAGAATTAAAAAATGAAAATGCAATGGAGTTGAGAAATTAAAACAATATTCAATATAAAAAATAAGAATGGTTATCTCCCCTTGTTGCTAGGACACACAGAACCAATTAATATTCTGATATAAAGGAGCCTAGACACACACTTTTGTCTGTTTGTATTGCTTTTATATACACACACACAATCATTCTACTTACACCTATTCTCTGGAACAAGTAAAAAAGACTCATTCTTTTGAAAGACTGTTGTATTAAAAGCCTCAAAGATAATTCCTTATTTAAAATTCAAAAAAAAAAAAAAAAAAAAAAAAAAGGTGAAATAAAACAATTTCTTTAGCCTTTACTTAATATTTTCAAGTTTGTCCTTAAGACATGGCAAAACTCATGTCTTAAACTAAAATATAGAACAGTGATTTATTGGTCTCATTCTCTTGTTCTGCCAATAACGATATTTGACAGGTCCTGTATTTTCAAGTGCTAAATATAGTTGTTTTTATTTTTTTTACCACATTGATTTTCATTTTCCTCATTGAAACCAACCTTCAATTAACTAAAGGCATTTGTTTCCAACAACATTGTCAATGTCATTTCACTTTAAAGTCAATCACTCACTTTATTTACTTTCTTTTTAGTCTTTCATTTTTACTAAAAAGTGGGATTGTCTTTCTTTTTAAATCTATGGCATCGTTTTGCAGCTTTCTTTAACATTCAATCTTTTTAAACACAATGACAAATTTCTTTTTGTCTTAAGTTATTTGAATTCTGAAAGCAAGTATTTTCATTCTTAAATTTTGATTCAATAAGTTTGTCTTTGTAGTTTACCCATGAAGATGACCTTGGAAAAGATTGAAAGCATATGGGTTAACAAAAACTACGATGCCTTCTTTGATGAAGAATACACACATATATATATATATATATATATATATATATATATATATATATATATATATATATATATATATATATATATATATACACACACACACACTGCAGTATGACTGAATAGTAAGTATGATCATCATTGGATGTCCTGCATTTTCCACCTTGTACCTCATCTAAGCTACAAATAGAAAATCAACATATGTTGTGCGGCAGAAATACCTCCCACATAAAGGTAAGACATTAGCTAGATAAAGATACTATTGCCACTAATGACTTAATGTTATGTGGAAGGTATTTCTGTTGCAGCATGTACATTATGTAATCAGATTATATTGTTTAAAATTTGCTATATTTATAATGGAAGAGTACTCAGTATTGGAGATAGAGTGTTTTGTAAATATAGACAATGTGGACATAGAAATGAACACTGCATATTGACTGTCAGTTTCATGCTACAATCTATTTATATCTTAAGTTATTTTTAGCTTGCACATAATTGGATAATCATTTTGGAAGTGCATTGTACCTATAAAATATCCAAAACTTTAATATATATTTGGTGTTTGACTTTTGAGATGAGAAATTGTCATTATACATTGATTTATTCAAACTCGTGCTGCCATATTGGTTGTTATTATAGATGCAATTCATGAAGAAGGCTGGAAGGTACTTGGTTGAAACATATAACAAATAACTTCTTCTACGTGCACAAAACAAAATGATTTCATATTGCTCCCACAAGAATACTAATGCCAGGACTCAAGACTAATGTTGTCCAGAAATGATAGAATCTAAAAACTACTAATTTAAAATAAAATAAAATTCTCAATATTGAACAACTGAGTCCCTTTAGTGACCATTTTTCTCTTGCAATTTTCAAAAGAAACTATATTTTTTTTTCTAAACTTTTTTGTGTTGGGGAGTCATATCTGACAAGGGTTGAAAATCAATTGTCTGAAATGTTGGGGTCAAGATCATGATGTGTAAGAGTTCAATTGTCAAATCAAGATTTGGAAAATATACTCATAATAGCATAGACAACAACTTACTTGTCTGCACAATGTTGCTTGTCGAACTCAGACTGGCTATACAGATACGGCCAACCTGTGTGAGTAAACTTGTAACATCTTCACATAAGGGAGGAAAAGCTTGACAAATACGGACAAGAGATGGAACTGTACGGATCAGGTATTCAACACGCTCTTCTGTGGCTAAGGCTGAAAAAAGAGTTGAAGCGAAAAATAAGTCCATGCTGAAATGAACAGTATATGTCTGGAAAAACCAAAAGTCAAAATGGTTGGAATTGAAAGAAAAGAGGAAAGACAGAAAAAAGGTAAAAAAATCTAACAAGGAGTGTGTGCAAAGTGAAAAAAAAAAAAAAATAGGACAAATAACCTTGACATTCTACACATAAGCACAGACATGTGAATGGGTGAACACATGTACGCACACACTATAAAGACAAAGAACAAATTTGCATCAATGTAAAGTACATATAAAAAGAAAAATTGAGAATTATAAGTAGCCTGATACCACTGATTTGTGGATGGAGTAATTGTCAGAGGGTCCATCTATGAAACTCTGAAGTCGGGATGCTGAAGGTAGCATCAATCAACTAAGTGACAAACCTTTAACTTGTATTTTATATATATATATATATATATATATATATATATATACACAAAATAGTAAGGAAAAAAAAAGCTTAAGACATGATATAAACCGTTTATAAATTTATTTCAGCAGATATACATATCTGATGAAATAAATTTATAACCAATTTATAAATTATATGATGTTTTAAGTTTTTTCCTTACTAATATTTATACTACCCTGTATATAAGTTTATACTTTGAGCTCACTTTATGGATTTGATTTTTAATATTTTTATATTAAAAAAATCTTGGAATAACCCTACCACTTACAGATTTGGTATTACATCATATATATATATATATATATATATATATATATATAAAATAAAATATGTTGTAGTGGTTCCAACGAGAGAAAAGTATGTATATTAAAAAAAGAGGGTGCAAAACGTTTTTGGTTGTAATGTGGATTTATTGAGAAAAATATTATACTTTGTTTTACATAATTTCACGACACGTGTTTCTGGTCTGGTCTCAAACCGTCTTCAGGTGAAAAGTGGAGATTTTTACATATTATTAAAAATAATTAATTTTTCTTCATGTTCAATGTGGAATATTCTCGATATGAGACATTCTGTTTGTGTGTTGGCAATCCGAATTTTCTTTCTAGAATTGTGTAAAACAAAGTATAATATTTTTTCTCAATATAATATTATGTAAAACAAAGTATAATATTTTTTCTCAATAAATCCACATTACAACCAAAAACGTTTGCGGCACCCCTCTTCTTTTTAATATATATATATATAAATTTTGTTAAAAATGACTGATATGGTGCTGCATTTAAGTTTTTTTTACATAATTTTTCATGTGTTATAATTTTTTTTTCTTTTCAGGACATAAATTATATAAAATACACACAGAAAGTATAAATAAATACCAAACTATCTGCTCATTGATAATACAAATATAATAGTCTCATTCACATTTTTAAAAAAAGGCTAAAAATAATGGAAGCATTATTAATAAAAAAGAAAAAGCCAACACTCAATAATATCAACTATAAACATGGCCACAATATGTTGACTGTGTTTGAAAAATAAAACATTCTGATAACTAGATACATACATAAAACAATCCATATATTCAATTAAAAGTAAAATAAAATTCATGCTTGATAATGGCTAAAAGTATAGTTGAAAATGCTTGGACATATAAAACATTTGTACAATTTTTATATAATTTATGTTTTGAAAAGAAAAAATTATAAGAGCACATGAAAAATTCTGAAAACAAAATTAATCACAGCACCTTGTCAGTTGTTTTTAATGAAACTTGCTATAAAAGAGGGATTGCTGCCCAAATATATATATATATATATATATATATATATATATATATATATATATATATTTTTTTATAATGGTTTTCTATATCATCAGAAGAGTTAACTTGTTCATCCATGTTGATGTACAAATTATTAAATGCTGAATAAATGTTATAGAATGTTACTCAAGAAGTATTGAAAATAAACAAGAAAAAAATGAAGAAAATATGACAAATTATAATGTTTACACTGGAATTTCCACAGGAGAATTGAAATAGAGAATTTATACCCATAGGCACTCATTTGCCAATCTTAAATCAAAATTCCAAACAGCCCTTTCAAAGAAATTTTGGGAATTGAAGAGAAAGGGTCTAAAACCACAGATAAATTGGAAAATTATAGGTTTTGCACATACTCCTAATAGTTTTTGAGATGGATGCAAGCTAGGTTTAGAGGAAAAAATTTGAATAATAAAATACAATGATCAATGCAAACTATTAAATCAGAGAAAAGAGATAGTATTAAAATGTAGGCATAGAAGCAGGTTCAAACTTATATAAGAATATAGATCTTACCTTATTACTTACTAACTCCCAAAAAACATCAGCCCTCCCCCACTGATGCAACCCTCTTTGATTAAATTTTTACTTTAATATCTTCCCCTTAAAGAATTTCAGGTACAGCTCAGTATTCCTAATAATATAACTGAATCTTAATGTATGGGTAATTATATGTTTGTGTATGTAGGTATGTATGTTGTATGACATGATTCATTCTATTGGGTGTTTCGGTATTACTTATAGGTTTTGGGGAATCTATTATTTAGATAATTTATTCTAACTTTACATTGCTTGTCTTTAAACCCCCTCACCACTTAATAATATAATCTACTAACCTAAATTCATTTACATGCAACTAAAGGCTTTGGCCATAAATAAACTCCCACTCCGGCCCATCTCCTTTTCACCAACCCAGACTCCTTATCAAAACAAGGCATCCTCTTAAATAGCCCTGCAGCTTCTCAATGGCTGCTATCTAAACTAAATTCAAAACTCCTATTCTGAGACAGTCTAGGACTGAGGAGGACTGGCATATAGTTGTGCTAGTCTGAAATAGACTATACCCACATGAGTTAATTTTGAATTTTTTATATTTATATATATATATATATATATATATATATATATATATATATATATATATATATAAAGTATATAATTGGTATATACGGAATGAATTCCAATAACCAACAATTACTATTCTTAAAAGAGTGCTCAATACAAAGTAGAGCAGATATAATTATTTTTTATAAAAATTATAACATAAGTATGTTATAAGATCACTACAAAAATAGCCATTTTGTTTCAACACATTCTGTGTCTTCTCAAGTGATGATGTTGAAAATAAAATAAATGGTTTAAAAAGTTTCAGATTAATTAACGATCCTACACTAGGGGAGCATTGTTACAAAAGCTAGAATAACCAATCAAAACGAAGTATAGAAAGATTCAAAAGTTTGACAACGAAATCCTGCTATAATAGCTATTCAGATCTTTAAATACATTAAATAATATTAAAAATAATTTATACTAACTAATAATTATAAAATTATATGATAAAATTTAATATTAAAATTAAAACTGGTAATTTTAAAATCCAAATTTAATCACTATTAAGTTTAAAAACTACAAAATTATTGAGAAAAGAAAAAATATATATGTTTATTCAATTCATTTCTTCATTGAAATTACGTTCGACAAGGGCGCTACAATATATCCGGTCATTTGATAATACATGTATATATATTTTTTCCTTTTCCTTTCATTTCCGTTTTATTTTAAAGTTTGTGGATGTGGTCTTAAACTCAAAAGACAACAAAAAACACAATCAGATTATAATACATAAGCACCCAGACATAATTAGATATACACACACACACACACAGATACACACACACTAAAAAAAAAAAAAAAAAAAAAAAGGGAGGAGGTGGAAATACATGAACATCTCTACAGCCCTTTATGAAAAAAAGGGAGACGTGGAAACTAACACTAATACACACACACAGTGAATACACTCTACATACACATAGACACCGATAGATACACATACATACATCCACAGACAATGACAGACAATAAGAAATCACAACCAATAAATATTTCAGACTTAAATAAATGCTAACCACTTATTGAATTATAACTTAAAGAGCAAATATACAAAGATAAAATGGTTAAAATAATATTATTTAATATATTAAAACGAAAATTCTAAAACCATAAATATCAATAAAAATATATATTAATCATATAAGTTGATAATAGTTTCATTATATATTAGGCAAAAAAAACAGTATACAGAAATACAAACTATATATATATATATATATATATATATATATATATATATATATATATATACACAGAGCAAAAAACAAATTAACACACATAAATATACACTCATACATACATATACATACAGAAATGCATACAAATAAATATATAAACATAAACATATAAACATATACATATCTATGATAACAAGTACACATGCACACACATATACATATAAACCTAAATACACACACATATATACAACAAACTTTTATGCACACATACTTATATATAAAAAACAGTCATGATATACCAAAAGTTTCCCTACCCCCATACACACAAACTCATACATAATAGTGCCAACACTCACACACATATATATATACATAAACATAAACATAATATATATACACACATACATACATATCTACAAATAAACATATATATAAATATATCTATCTACAATAACAACTACCCATATACACATGCATACATAAAATTACAACAACACTCAACCAAATACATACATAAACGTACTAACATATAGATACATAAATATACCTTCAAATACCAACACACACCAATATACATATAGTCTAACATACAAATATATAAACACATCCATACAAACAGAAATATACCCAAATATAAATACACATACACAATAAAATAGGACATACAGATATATATATATATGCACACACATACACACATACATACACACACACATACATAATATATATACAAATATATAAAGTGGCATAAGCCATTCAGTGAGAACTAATTCATTACTCAGTCGCAAATCCCTTGAACCATGCTGGCCAACCATTATACTGCCAATGATTTTATCATACATATACATATTTATACATATACACATACACACACATACCTATATACACATACACACATATATATGCATACATATATACATATATACAACCACACACACACATATATAT